AACTTGCGTGCGAGATAGACACTGATCACCATATACTTCTGTCAACAAATTGTAAGTTTCAGTGGCAGATTTTCCAAGTTTTGTGAGGAATTTGATGTTAGCACGTTGTTCTGCATTAGCACTCAGCATTATTCCGACGGAGCTCAGAAACACGATCCGCTTCTAACAATGGTCGCGGCCAGACTAACCGATGCACGTGAATGAAACTTTGTGTGACGGTAGAGGGAAGTCCAAGGGTCAATGCCCTACCCTCCTCTTCGTCAATGACGTGGCCGGAAATGAGTCATAAAAGTAATCCGGGTTCTTTATTGCCACACCTTGTATTCTGACTGATGTTTTTCGTGCTTTTCTTCAGTCCCCCACCGTTTCCTCCCGCATGCTTTCCAATTTATTATTCTCTACTCATACCACCAGTCTGAGCTGCTCAGAGCAGCGTCTTCAGATAAACCGTAATAAATAAATACACAATGAGACAAGAAAATGAAAGATTCAAAATATGTTAAAGAAATTTCATGGCAAACACCCAGTCAGAATCTTGAATTTAACACACATTTCTAGCTGCTTATAAAAAACTAGGTTATCTCCATTCGTTCCCGTTTGTATAACGAGGGAATTCAGACCAGGAGACGGGAAAGAAGTCAGAAGCAAAAGCTTTTAAACCAATTTATAGGAAGACATGTAAATAAGGGTTTAGTTAATACACCGTTCTTGTTTTAACGAGGGTATCTCTAGTTCGCTATGATAATGCCCGCTTCTGCCTCTCAAGTCATTTCTCCTCTTTAGAATCGTCTGTTCAGACGTAACTTGAACGTTCTTTACAGGAATGGCGGCTTCTGTTTACTCTGGTCAAATTAAAGTCCCTTTTCTTTATGGGAGAGCGTTACACAATTAAATAAGGAGCGGTCTACCTTTCACAATAAGCCCATTCTCTTTCAATTGCTTATTCTTAGACCATCTAGCGATGCTGTTCTTAGTTCGGTCCGCATAATATTCAATAACTGAATAATAGTGAAAAAATAAATTGCAAAGTGTTGTAGCATGTAGACCCATTGCTGGGCAAAGACCGCGAGATAAGCAAATATACAAGAGCCCTTGCTGAGCAACGGTTTGGCAGAACAAACATGTTCCCACAGCAACGATTAAAATACAACAATGAGGAACGATTATTTCTGAGACATGCAGACAACCTCACCGCCATTTGTGAGCCGATTGTCTAGAAAATGTGCGATCCTCGACTTCTCGCAATTCTAGGAGACTCCACGGCCTGTTACAGGGACAGTTTTACCTCTGTGTTATGGGAAGTACATTGCCCGTAGGAATAGTAGCAAGAAGTTCTGTGAAGAATTAATCGCCTGTTCTTTTTTTTTTTTAATACGACACTAACCGCATGGCAAACGAAAGAGGTAGGGCGGAATACACAGACACACAGAGAGCAAGGTGATGCCATAAGCCTCCTTACAAAACAGGGAGGGGGAGGATATATAGACAGACAGCAAGGTATTCTTATAATCCTTGAAAATTAGGGGGATGCACGGAAGATGGACAGCCACGGAAGGATATACAGAGAGATAGACAGAGAAGAATACACAGAGAGATGGACAGACACAGAAGGATACACAGAGAGATGGAGAGACACAGAAGGATATACAGAGAGAACAGACACAGAAGGATACACAGAGAGATGGACAGACACAGAAGGATATACAGAGAGGACAGACACAGAAGGATACACAAGAGAGCTGGACAGACACAGAAGAATGCAGAGATAAGTAAACACAGAGAGACAGAAGGTGATCTCATGGAGTTCTCTATTATTTCAAAATCAGGAATCTAGGCTAAAAGTAATATTAAAAATAGTAAACATAGTGATGGCAGAAACCAAACAACTCAGCAATAAATATTGAAGCTTTAGGGAATTTCCATGAATTCGAGTGCGGAATTAGAACGATGAGCTGTGAAGTAGGCCTGTTGAAAAAGCGTTCATTCGGTATGGACCGCAGATTTCTAATCTTGTTTTCAGAGGAGGATAATATTAAAGCAATGAATAAAAGTGGTAAGAAGATCTAATCGATTTGAATTTCCCGTTCTTTTGAAAAGAAATTACGTCTGGTAACTACGACTTATACTGAAGCGTAGGTAACGAATATATCTCAGCTTTGATTTTACATGCTAGTAATCGTAAAGGAACCAGATTGCGCAACTGCTACATAGGCCCTATTTGATGCAATCGGTATAAAATTTTAACTTAAACTTTACAAAGATTTCTACTTAAATAAATATTTATTATTTATTTATATAAACTTGTTGAATTTGATGTCCTCACAGATGTGACTATGAAGTGCAATATCCTCTACGTTGAAACGACATGTACCTCGGTAAGAGTATACCGGCGTTTCGGAATACCGTGTCGCCTCCATTTTCATGGTAATCCGAACAACAAACCATCAATAAAAGTGGAAGGAATTACCAATAAATCTGCTTAGATCTAGTCTCTTATTTGGCTTATTTTTCGACTATGAAGATGGAAGCGATATGTGCCTTGGAAACTTCTATGGATTTCTATTGAACTACACTCAACAGAACTCAGAATATTTTTTTGTTTAAAAAATATTTTTGAATAAATAGTAATTAATATGTCCATTCATATCTATTTTCTGGGATACGTTACTGATTAACAGGGCCTGGATTTTGATGACATGTCATCTTTGTTTCCTTCTTTCCTATGCGATGCTCTTAAATATATAAATCTCGGATATGAGCTGCTGGTTACAGAAATGTAAATTTTATAGGTAATGTTTTGTCATTTTTTGACATTCTTAGGTTTAAGGTCATTTTTTTCATTTTGGGGGTAATTGTTGGTAAATTTTTGGACTTTTAAGGGTATTTCTTGTCACTTTTTGCCATTTTAGGGAATTTTTCTTCATATGTTTTCTGAAATGTGAATAACATGGAAGCGAAGTGTTCTTTCTTTTCTCTTTTAGGTCATTTTTCTGGATTTTTTCGGTCATTTTATAGGTCATTTTTTAAATATTTTCAGGTCATCAAAATCCGGGACCTGCTGATTAAACTCCTAACTATATTGACGTTGTACCGTAACGGATTTTAAAGGAACAAATGAGTATATTCAAGTTCAACATAGAACTCAACTCCCCACTGCAAGTTATTCACAATAATTTCAGAAGAACGTAGCATGGAATGTCATAAAGCTGTAAAGTAATGCATGTTAGCAGTTTCCTTTTCTCGTTATATGTTTTAATAGTTTTAAATTAATTTATGAAATTTAATAAGGTAACTTTTCCCTGTTCTTAACTAAGTACTAGGCCAAGAAGACGTATGGGGGAGTGGATGTATAGATACTCCTATTCTTGATCTAGACATTAGTTAGAAGCGAGTGGTGAGCTTCACACCCCGGCCTCTTTATGTCCGGGGAAAGAACTGGGTGGGCCCCACAGTCGGTTTGGACGACGTGGAGAGTAGAAAAATTTGTCCCGAACGGGACTCGAACTCGGGCACCTCGGCTGTCCAGCACGTAACCAGTCGCTATACTGACTGAGCTATCCGTCTCCTATGAAATTCCAAGTTTAATAAAAAATACAAGTTAAATTATGGAAACGTTAGTTATAATTAAGAATGTTGCAAGACAGACTGTAATGAAATTTGCTTCCATGAAGGTTTATGAGCAGGTGCTGTAACCGTTCTGATACGAGGAAACTGGCAGGGGGTGAAGAAAAATCAACCCCCCCCCCAGATTTTTATTGGAAGATATCAAAACTGAAGCAGATATAGTATAATAAATATTTGACCAAATGTTTTTATCTATCAAATTTAGTTGAATTCGGCACAGAGATTAAAAAATTGAAACTTTCTGAAAACCCAAATGTGACTACTTGGTCCCCTTATTAGCAAATAACTTACTATATACTCGTATATGCAACATGTGACACGGTTTCCTGTGTACTACAGCGTATTTGGTTGTTGAGACGTCCTGTAAGTAATAATCATGTACACTAGATGTCAGCATGTGATTTCTGTACACTAGCTGTTTACTTTACAAGCCATTAGCGGGCACCCAAATAGGCGTATCCACAAGGCTGTGCCCGATGCCACACACGTATTCACTGAATACTAGATCCACGTGGAGCTTCCATTCATAACAAACACACACTATCACAATTCACTGCGCACTTGATACATAGCATAATAGTGTTTTTAGTTTAGAAACGTTGATGGCGCTGAGGTCGCTGTGGCTATGTCAGTAACTGTATGAATGAGGAGAAATAACAAGCCACACCTCCAGACCGGGTCGACCCTCCGCAAAGACAGAGAGAGAAAGAGTTAAGTCAGTCGGACCACACAAGTCGTCGACATTCAAACCTATTGCAACATCAACACACACATTATGGCTCCCGTGTTCTATACTACCCATGCTTCTTTAAAATGACCCAACTGTGAACATACCAAAAATCCTTATATTACTTAACTCCACTAATTAACGGACCGGTGAAACAGTGGTGGGCTTTTCGAAGACAAGTCGCCTGTCCGCCTCACATTTAAGCTTATAGTACAAATAAGAATCTACAAATCTAATTATTAAAGTTAAAAAAAGGGAAATCTATGCCTGTAACAGGCCGTGGAGGCCCATAAGATTGTGAGAGGTCGAGGCTCCCACACTATCTAGACAATCGGCTCACAGATGGTGGTGAGGTTGTCAGCCTTACGTGCCGGCCGCCCTTTACCATCCAGGAATGTACCTGGTACTCATTTCTGTTAGAGGCTGAGTCGACCCCAGGTACACAGTGAGGCTGGAAGGATTAGGTTAATTGTAAAATCCAATGACCTCATCGGGACTCGAACCCGCGACCTTCCGGCTTGTAGCATAGCGCTTCAACCAACTACGCTACCGCGTGCCGCCTAACAATATACGTAAATTAGAAGTTTTCTCCACAATTTATTTACAGTGAAATAGCGAATACATTAATGCAGTATTAAGAAATTCATGGCCGAAATATTATACATTAAATATATAAGTATATAATTATGATTGTGCTTCAACTTTTTACGTAAGTGTTAATTCCAAATTTTCAAATTTACGAGTAACGTAATAGTAAGCATTTCTGAATGTGTTGCGTGGAGTATATTTCGACCTAAAAAGGAAGAAGTATTAGCAAAGTAGAGAAAATTATATTATAAAGAGTCTCAGAATGTCTGATTTTCGTCATATACTATTATTGTAATCAAATCAAGGAGGATGAGATGGGCGTTGCATGTAGCAAGCATGACATGGAAAATGCTCATAGAGTTTCAGTTAGAAAACCTGGAGGAAGTGATTCAGTTTCCGAAACCTCTGCACAGATTGCAGAATAATATTAAAATGTATTGTGGCATATTTGCTCAAAACAAAAATTGTGAAGCCTGCAGAGACGCATCATTGTTAGGTAACAGCCTTATAACACGTAACAACGGTGTAACTGTTAGAAACGGTGTTTCTGTACGGTCCATGCTGAGGCTATATAACGAGGACCAGCTGCCATTACGAGACAGTCATGGAACGGCAGTTAGAAGTGTAGGATATTGGTGTGAGTTGCCCGCCAGCCTGCGAGGTCGTGAGCCTCGAAGCAGAGGAATGTCCGTTGCGAGTCAGAATAGTGAAGACTGTGACTGAAAACACTATCCTGTGTGTCATAGTGATTCGCAAAGTGTAGTCACGAATTGTGTGTTAAAGTGCCCAATAAATCTGATTACCAATCCAGCCCCCGTCTACTGTCACTCAATCAATTCTAGTATTTAAATAAAATAGAATTATGAACGTGTGGACTCATTTCATCTGGATGAAAGTAGCGTCAAGCGATGAGTGTTTGGAACATGAAAATTCAATTTCGGTTTCCGCAAACGGATGGGGATTTCTAGACCAGTCCAATTACCGACACCTTCTTTATGACCTGGGTCAAGCAGTTATCTGGTAAAAAATGGAAGGGAAGTCATTTAACACGCGTTGAACATTTCGCCATTCGTTTCACAGTTTTAACATGACAACCTTCAGCGTCACACAATTCAGAACATAAAAATAAAATGCGGCAGTGACAATGACAAAAGAAATCAATTTCGAATGCGATAGCAATGTAATGAACTGACTGAAAATTGTTGATACACATTTTCATTCTAATTGCTTACGTCATGAATGGAATAATTATGCAAATAAAAGATCTATCCTGAATATCTTGGTTTGATATGAGAGTTCTAATATGAACGTAGTACGTGAAATGTGGAAAAATCAAAATTCAAAATAGAAAGAAGTATACGAAACATTAATACTGTCACGTGCATGGGGTACGTGTGACGAAAATAACGGGTTCTAGTTCGGATGATTGGATTTATTGGCACTTCCGTTACGGGTTTTTTTTATCACAAGCGCTATCGTTGATTTACATAATTTACAGTTCACCGTTGCACACGCACTAGTATTCTCAGTTTCCACTAGTCATCTCCTGGCAACGGATCACAACACAGAAACTAGCACTTCAAATCACTATGAAGTCTTCTTGATAGTTCTCGTTCAATCACCATGGCTGTGGACTGGACAACCCTGGGTAGATTCCAGGCAGGTCACGATTTTTTTCTTTTCACATTGTCAAGACCCTTTCTGGTTCTGTAAAGCGGTCGGAGTGTGAAGCTGACCACTCACCTCATTCTAGTGCCGAGGTCAAGAATTCTGGTGTTATACCCCCAGTTGAGAACAGGGACAACTCTACATCTTCTATAAGATAAAAATAAATATATTCCTGTACTGAACTAATTAAGCACTACGCCATGAAGTCGTATGGGGAAGTGGGCATATAGATCCATGTATTCTTGACCTCGGCAGTAATCGGAGGTGACGAGTCAGCTTCACGCACCGGCAGCTTTAACCCCGCACAAAAAGGTCTCGGTTCCCAATGGATAGGAGGCACGGAGAAGACCAAAACCGGTCTGGACGTCGTGGAGAGGAGAAAAGCCTTCCCCTACTGGGGCTTGAACTCCGACGCTCCAGCCCATAGCCAGTCTCTAGCATAATATTTTAAAAAATATAATTATATCTTTATGCAAATGAAAGTTACTTCTGCACAAGCCCACGGCCTGTCTCTCGAAACTAGTGCGTAAGCATATTTTCTTGCTGATCTCCCCTCGAGTAGAAAGAAGCTTCTCTTGCGGTTTGTTGCTGCTAGCAGAGTAAGGCAGTTTCCCGCAAGGCCGTGGTCTCGGCTTCAGAGATCGTAGCAGCGGCCTTATACAGCTATGAATTCTATATAAGCGTCTGCTTCTAGTACAGTACATATAACAATTGAATTAAATGTAATATACGTAATAGGGCCGCTCACGTTGTGCACGCTGTCTAAGTCATGAAATACCTCCGCCAGCTGAACACTTGGATCGTGGGTTCGAATCCCTTTCAAGGCATGGATGTTTGTCTGCGTTTATTCTGTTTGTGTTTTCCTGTATAGGTAGCGACTTTGCGTCTGGCTGATCCCCAATCCAAGGAGTCTAATTATAAAAAACTTAGGTGACACGAAACATTTCGCGGATGTCCTATTCTCCAAAAGGGCCAGATAGATAGATAGATAGATAGATAGATAGATAGATAGATAGAGAGATAGATAGATAGTCTAGGGGTAACGTTCCCACCTCATGACTCAAGGTACGCAGGTTCAAACCCGGCCGAAGTCGTGGAATATTTTAAGGGCGGAAAAATTCAGGGAACAAGTCCTCCGGGAGGGACTTCAAGCCGTGGGTCTCGTGTCATAGATTTATGGCACGTAAAAGATCTTCATGTTTTTAGGAGACCTCTGAGCAAAATTAGGCAAAAAGTTTCCAGCCCAAGTAGTTTCCAATGTCTCCTGTAGATGGGGAAATATCGGGTACTACTGCCAGTAGAGGGCCGACCTCGCTTCCTGAACAGGGCTGATAGCGAGCACCAGTACCGGAAGGGTATGGCGACTGGTAGAATATCAAAGGGGAACGTACAATAGACTATAAGTCGCGGTGCATGGGGAAAGAAACCCCCCCAATGATGATGACAATAATAATAATAATAGATAGATAGATAGATAGATAGATAGACAGATAGATAGATAGATAGATAATTGTGTTGTTTAATTAAGAATTTTTGTTTGTCTGATACAAACATTAGGCGGGTTACAGTTTCTCAGCCGTAAACGCTAAATTATAACCAACAGATCCCTTTCGAAGTGTTGAAAACAGAACAGACTATACATTTAAAAACAACTCTCTTGAAGGGACACCTATAGATCAAAGTACATATAACTGTGATTTAACCTGTCGCTTTTACGGGTGCAAACCTCGGTCCCTTAAATTAAGGGACGAACATAAATTGATGGTGTTTAAGAACAGGATGCTGAAGGGAGTATTTTGATACGAAAGGGGTGGAATACCAGAGGGCCGAACAGATTTGTGTAGTGACGACTTTCAGTATCTGTACTCTCAAAAAATACTATTACAATGATCAAGTGAAGCAAAATAAGAGGTTTAGAGCATATACCAATTTTATCAGAGAAGAGAAATGCATAACAAATTTTGATAAGAAAACATGAAGAAGAAACACCACAGAGAGAGAGGAATTCATGGGGGAAAATATTAACATGGATCTTACAAAATAACGAGGGAGAGTGTGGATTAGATTCATCTGGCTCATGATACGTACCAAAAGCGGGCTCTTGTGCACAGCGCAAATGTCCTTCAGGTTCCATAAAATCCTCCTAATTTTAGTCCAGTAAATATTAGCCTATGAAGCAGAACTGGGCTGCACGGTGTCACGTTGTGACAGAGTGGCCCGAAACCTCAGCTGTGTCCTTTATGCAGAAAACAATTCACCTAATCTCACCTCATTTTCTCGAATTTCAACAAATGCAGAGTTGGTGCTAAGTGCCCCCCCCCCAAGACGATGTGGAATGCGGTAGCGTAGTTGGTTGATTCATTACGCTACAAGCCGTAATATCTCGAGTTCGAGTCCCGATGAGGTCATTGGATTTTTCAATTGATCTAATCCTTCCAGCCGCACTATGGCCCTGGGGTCGACTCAGCCTCTAACAGAAATGAGTACCAGGAAACATCCTGGGGTAAAGGGCGACCGGCGAATATGGCTGAAAACTTCACCGCCGTCTGTGAGCCGATTGTCTAGAAAATACGAGAGT